CATTGCATTGCATTGCATTGCATTGCACTGCATTGCATTGCATTGCATTGCATTGCATTGCATCGCACTGCATTGCATTGCACTGCATTGCATTGCATTGCATTGCATTGCATTGCATTGCATTGCATTGCATTGCATTGCATTGCATTGCATTGCATTGCATTGCATTGCATTGCATTGCATTGCATTGCATTGCATTGCATTGGATTGCATGACATATTATGTTACATTACATTACATTACATTACATTACATTACATTACATTACATTACATTACATTACATTACATTACATTACAGTACATTACATGCAACATTACATTTCATTACATTTCACTACATTACAGACAGACAGACAGACAGACAGACAGACAGACAGACAGACAGACAGACAGACAGACAGACAGACAGGGGCAGGAAGGCAGACAGACAGAAATATACATATGTATACATATATATATATATATTTATTTATTTGTTTACGTATACAGCATCTACAGAAAAATATATATGTGTATATATGTACGGGAATATTTGGCTATACATATGCATATATGTATAAGCGCGTACTCTTATTCCTTCGTTAATCCTTATGCAAGGCTTTCGATTTTTGCTGATGCAATCTTTCCTATGAGAGAATTCAAGAAACTGGGGACCCCTATGTAGCCTAAAGAATGCCACTCTCCGTATAAGGAGCAAGTAGAAATCCTGAATTCTTAGTTCCCCTACACCCCTACACCTCCAAACCGTAAACACCTAAACCCTAAACCATCCTAAAACCCCAAGCCCATAATTCCCGTTGATTGAGACCCTAGACCCGGAACCCTAAATCCTAAAATCCCTAAACTTTAGCCGCAATTTCCCCGCTACTCTCGCGCCTGATTGGCAGACGCCTTTGCCTCGAGTAGCAGCCGGGCAACCTCCAGGTGACCAGACCTTAAGGGGCTTAGGGTTGAGGGTTTGGGGGTTTAGGGTTTAGGGTTCACGACTTCTGGAGTCTACCTGGACCCCGAAAGTTGTGAAAAATGGTGCTCTATAGCCGTTGGGCAATTAGTTTACCAACTGTTGGGGGTCTAGGTAGGGACTTGCAGGCTTGGGGTTGAGGTTCAAGGGTTTGGGCATTAGGGTTCAGGCCTTATAGAGCCTGGACGATTTGGGGTGTAGGGTTTGGGGCTTCGGGCTTAGGGTTTAAGTTTAGAGTTTAGAGTTTGAGGGTTCAGGGCTTGAGGGTTGCAGGTTCGGGGTTGTTGGCTTTAAAGTTTGGGGGATAAGACTGTGGGTTTCTGACTGCTAGCCTTCCTGGAGATCTTGGCGTTTCTTTGATTGCGTGTACATGTAAGAGTTGCATTCCTGGTAAATGCGGGAGGGTCAGCTTCAGAACTCGGCTTCCGTGTGATTGAACTTTCTGCTTGAAGCTTGTGAGTTCGCCTGGAATCTTGGGTGTGTTCCTCAACCCTAAACCCTGCTTCAACGTTTCTGGGCAACTTCTGAGCAGCACAGCACAGAAAGGGCAAAACAACAGCAACATGTAAGGTTGAGGATTTACCTGGGCAAATCACAACGAAACAAAACAAGCATCTAGCGAAATCCTGACAAACTCAAAACAAATCTAGGGAAATCGAAAACGACGCAACAAGAATCAAATAGGTAATTCGAGCAAAATCAAAAATTCCAGGGCAAACAACAGAGCATCAAAATAAAGACTCAACCCTTTCCCGTTTTGTCCTGCGAAGCGAGGAATCTGTAGCAGAAACAACTGGAAAACTTGCTCACTTGCTTGCAAGGGCCTGCTTTCAGATTGGGAAAGGTTGGTCGGAATCTACGTGTTCACATGATGGAAGACCTCCTTCGAGACCTTTCCGTGTCTCCGATACGGGCAACAAAAACTGGCACTTGACCGACCACCTTTTTTGACCAGTAACTACACAGCAGAGACACTGGCAAGCCTTTATCCACGTCCCCCTGCAGTCATGCAACTTGTTGCGTGATCAAGCGGTAGCGGCACTTATATTTAAGTAAGACTTCCAGGCGCCTGGGACAGGGAAAACCTAGCTAAAGAAATCTTGAATCTTGACGCTTTGCCTCCTGAAAAAGGATGCCCAAGATCCGACTGTAAAAGATGCTCAGTCATGCTGAAGGAAACAGAAAAAAACTGCTTCCGAAAACAGACGTGCAAACTTCGTTTCCTTTCGAATTTCCGGGATGCTGCCAGACAGCAGTCCATTTGCGCTCCCCATGAGCTGGTGCCAGACAGCACTCTCAAACTTTCATAAATTTGGCCGCCAGCCGGCGCCATCTTAAGCGTGCCCAGACAGCACAGTCAATTATCTGAGTTTGTGCCCAGACAGCACCTATTTTTACTTCTTCAGAAGCTTGTGCCTAGCCAGCACTCAGCACTCCTTGAGCAAGTCAACAGCTTGGCGGGCCACCGAAAAGCTAAGGATGCAGACCACGTTACTAACATGGCTTCGCCCCCAAAAAAAACCGATGCGGCAGATCTACCGAAGCAACATCAATCTTTGACCCTTTGCCTCATGAGCAAGGATGCCCAAGGTTCACAGGGTAGAAGATGCTCCGTCATGCACCCCGTTTGATCTTCCCCAGGAGTTGGTGCCAGCCAGCACTTGGGAGTGTGATCAGAGTGAACAAGTGCCAAAATGAACAAGAAAGTTTGCAAGCCACTCGCCAGGCAGCCATGTTTCGACAGGTGTTACTGTTGAAAGGCAACACAGCATAGTATCGAAACAAAATGTAGAGTTCCATAATGAATTATCGGGAGACTCCAGGCACAGATTACTGGCCCATGCTCCAAACTCAAATCGCCAAGCGAGTTCTGCTGGGTCCACCATGACTCAATGAACAACAGCTCCACGCTCAGGCACATCACACATGTCTGCTGGTGCCAGACAGCATCTTCTGAAGTTCTTGATTGAGCGGATGCCACAGGTCATAACCAGGGCTAGGGCTGCAGAATCTTTCGGTGCCATGGGACCCATGGAAAAGCCCAGGCGATGGAAATGCGGCTCTCGAGGAAAGCGCCACGCAGCTGCTCGACAGCTTTCACTGCCTTAAAATATCAAAACCTACATAGCAACTGACCTTGGAAGACGCCTCGGTCAGATTGCAGGAGTCCCTTTCAAAACCGAAATCTTTAAGCGCATAGCCGCAAGGCACTTGACGATATCCCCGACCTTGTGTTTGAAGTCTACAGGCCCGCAGCAGGCTTTGGGGGGCCGCGTGCATGGTAGACGCCATGCCTATCAGGCCAATCGTTGGTCAAGAGCAGCAACTAAGGACCGCCGCTTCGGAACGGTTGGATCCCACAGGCCATGTGTAGCAAGTGTAGCTGATAAAACAAAAGCAACAGGATTCACCGTGCCATGGGCTGTAGCCACGCCTATTTCGATTTGACCAAGGTGTCACAAGGAAGCCACCCATAGCACAGGCTCGCCCCGTCAGGTAAGAATTGTAACCACTCAGATAGTAGAGCCGCTCTGTAGAGCCGTAGAAAAACAATCCCGACACTCATTGCACAGCCTTGCCGTCGGCAGCTCATAACTGCACCTGACGGCTGGCAGGGCCTGGGTGTGCGCCACCATACGACAGCTGCGCCCTCGTACTGAAATGAAGGTCCTAGCATGATACAAGTTTGGTTTCTGAGGCCGGCATGCACGATGCCACTGCATTGAAGTGCTTCAGGTCACACCTCCAAAGCCTGTTTCCAAGTCAGCAGGCCAAATCCTCAGACTGGTTCCTCAACAGCCACAAGCCACGAACTACGGACGAAGATCATGAACAAACCATCTGCAAGGGTCGCTTTTGCAACAAGGTTTGTTTGACCCGGCCCAACAAGATTCCAAGAGCCCTAGGTGAAAGTATGCATTACACCGTCGGCCAGACGCAATAGGAACACAAGGTTGCATCTGAGTGGTCCAAACACCCTCACGCAGCAAATGTGCACAGTTTGCTGCGCGCCGCTGGCCGCGGAGACAGACGTGTGGCAGTTTCACTTTAGCACACAACATAAACACAACCCCTGTTCGAGAATGGAACCAACAAGCAGGGGATGGAAACCACTTGTAGAGCTATGCTGACATACGAGTTGACAAAGCAACCTATGCGCAATCGCTGCGCGGGCAGTATTGCTTGAGGCAACACGCTCCGTCCGGCAGCCACGTCTCGTACACAACTGCCATCATCAAGCCCAGCACTTGCAATCACGACAAGGACAAAAGCCGACAGCTTACCGCCGTACGCACAATTCAACTCACACCACACCAAACACCAAATAATCGCTCGTTAGTCATGCTCAGCTAGGACTGCGTGACAGCCGTGGCCCAAACCATCAGGCCATCAGCATGTTGTACCGATGTAATCAACAACCACGCTTTGTCACCAACTTAGGCGGCCTTGGCCTCATTACTTAGCCGTCCGAAACAATACGAAAATGGCACGCGCGCATGCACACACAAGCCACCGATCCACGACTATCAGGAACACATCTGTAACATTGTAGCCATGTCCGACGACACAACTGGAGTGGTCCACCAACCCATGCGCAGCAGCCTTGCCTTGCGACAATCGACCAACAACTGATGGTAAGCAACCACCTCCGTCAGACCTCACTGGATGCAACAAGCTTTGAGCATGGACGCCAGTTGGCCACTTGAAGGAAGGCAGCATGTGAACCATACAAGGTCCACGACCATCACATTCTGCTGGCGATAATCTCGACAGAAATAATGTACAGCGCACAACCACGCGTGGATCCGTCAGCGTGTGCTGAAATCAGCCGGGCGCTGTGCTAAAACAAGCGGCGAGGAGATTAGAGCTTCCGCACGCGTTGATTGCCGAGAGCAGCTCTCCACGGTGGCATCTGACAACTAACTCTGAACCGAGATGCGCCACTCACACCTTGCCTGTCGCAATGCATGATTCTTGGAACCAGAGTTCGGCACGCATTGACGGCGCCACTCAATGTCCATATGCTTTGAGAATGGGTCTCAACTTTCCGCAAGCGACGAGTGTAGCGCGGCACCACAGCGAGTAGACACGCAACCAACACAACATTACCGTAGTGCTGAGACTGACAGCAAGTACTACACGCCCGGGTTTCCACGGAGAGGATCATGCAAGTAACCTTTCCGCCTAAATACATACCAGAGAGCGAGCTTCAATAGCAGGTGCTCCGCAAACGAAGTTGACAAGCATTCAAATGAAGTGCCTCCCGACCAAACTCACGCAAGTCAAGTGCAAGCCAAAGGTTGCCAGGCATAAACATGCGGCGTAACACCAACAAGATACACCTGGATTATGTCGTAGCCTGCGCTTCCTCCACTTGCTTCAATCAAGAAGCACTGTGCTTTGAGATGCACATCTTGGATGCAACCGGATACAACACAACACACATCAACTACACCTCGTGGCAAAAATGATCCATGCAAGCATGTCTGACAACCGTCTACAAAGCAACACGCCAACGCATCACCATATCTTTGGCATCAAACCCACGTCGTAGGAGGTAGTATGAGTGGATCCCACCGGCCGTAAACAGCGACTACGGTTTAGAGCACAACAAGCTCCAAAATCATGTCTTATCACCACATCCAGGTTTATACAGCAAGGATCCTGAAAAGTAACCCCTCCTCGTAAATTTATGCCAGACAGCGAACTTCAATAGCAGGTGCTCCGCACACGAAACTGACAAGCATTCAAATGAAGTACCTCTCGACCAAACCCACGCAAGTCAAGCGCAAGCCAAAGGTTACCAGGCATAAACAAGTGGCGTAACACCAAGAAGATACACCTGGATTATGTCGTAGCCTGCACTTCCTCCACTTGCTTCAATCAAGAAGCACTGTGCTTTGAGATGCACATCTTGGATGCAACCGGATACAACACAACACGCATCAACTACACCTCGTGGCAAAAATGATCCATGCAAGCATGTCTGACAACCGTCTACAAAGCAACGCGCCAACGCATCACCATATCTTTGGCATCAAAACCCCTTCGTAGGAGGTAATATGAGTGGATCCCACCGGCTGTAAACAGCGACTACGGTTTAGAGCACAACAAGCTCCAAAATCATGTCTTCTCACCACACCCAGGTTTATACAGCGAGGATCCTGCAAGTAACCCCGCAGTGACCCCTCCTAGTAAAAATATACATATATATATATATATATACCAGACAGCGAACTTCAATAGCAGGTGCTCCGCAAACGAAGTTGACAAGCATTCAATTGAAGCACTTCCCGACCAAACTCACGCAAGTCAAGTGCAAGCCAAAGGTTACCAGGCATAAACAAGCGGCGTAACACCAAGAAGATACACCTGATTATGTCGTAGCCTGTGCTTCCCCCAATTGCTTCAATCAAGAAGCACCGTGCTTTGCGATGCACATCTTGGATGCAACCGGGTCCCACAACAAAACACACATCAACTACACCTCGTGGCAAATCTGATCCATGCAAGCATGTCTGACAACCGTCTGCCAAGCAACGCGCCAACGCAATCACCATCTCTTAGGCATCATGCCCGTTTTGTAGGAGCCAGTATAGGCGGATCCCACCGACCGTATGGAGCGACTGCGGTTTAGCCCACAACAAGCTTCAAAACACTGTCTGTCAATTACACTTTGAGAGAAATCGGGCCCCTCAAGCACAGACCCTATGCCTTAGCCGCACACGCCGGACCAAACATGGCGCAACAAACCAAGTGTGGCACTGCACATTGTAACACAGCCGGCTCGCAAAATCAGCTGATCCAGAAAGCCACGTGACCAAGTGCCGGCATCGCGGCTTCAACCAAATCATGGTTAGCAACAGGGCTGCGAAGCGCCACCAGCTTCAAAAACAGCTATTGCATGCACCTTACTCCGAACTGGGTCGGACAAGAACAGCACAAAAAACAGATCACTCAACCGTGCGTTGCAATCAGGGTATAAACGATTGTAAACGCAAGTGACACCAGCAGCCACCGCTGTGTCGCAACGATGCTTGACAAACACTTCTAGGCCACACGTTGAAGCACAACCGAACCTGACAAAACACATGCCATGCGACAACAGAGCAGCAAACGTGCCTTGAAACACGAATGTCACAGAAGCCACGCTGTGCATACCCCTCCGTGAATAGCGAATGGACCTTCGAAGCCGCGTGAAAGCTTCATAACACCAACGGGGTCAATCAAAGTCACCGAGCCCATGAGTAAGCTGAAGTCACAAAGTTGCTTCGACACGACATGCCACAAATCATCGAGCATATTGCTGAGCGCGATGAAGCTTTCTAGCTCACCCGGATAGCTGCTACAACCCAAATACGCTCAACAGGCAGTGGTCCCACATGAAACCGCATCACCAAATATCTCTGCTGGCCCAGGTTTGGTCTGAATGCTCCGTTTGCACCCATATCATTATCCATCCATCTCAGTCGTGATTGGGTGGCACATCCACCCACATCCCAGGTAGGGGCGCGCGATGGCAATTTTATTGACACCCTACGCCATTGAATCTACCTCAACTTCGCAGGAACAAAGGAATCGCACAAACCTTCCTGTAAAAATCATCTACCTGGAATGTTGGCAAGATAGCGTGGGATTGCATCAGCCATGTCAGCTCCCCATTGTCATTTAGCTGCACGCATGAGACTTGTCATCCTGCCAAATAGAAACAAGGCTCCCGCCCCTACCTCCTAAACAAGGAGACAGAAGCAAGCGAACCAGAACCACGTCAGATAAAATGAAAGTGCACGTCAACTAAACTCCTTGCAAATCCATCTTCCTGAACACTTGGGTGCTTCGACTCCATCATCTGCCAAATCAGCTGCCACTCCGGGCTGCAGAATAGATCTTCAATAACCCATGTTGTGAAACTGGCTTAAAAGCCTCTAGTCCATGGGGAACCTGGTGCACATGCACTTTACCGCCCCGAGACTCTAAGATTTTCGCACATGAGACGAACTGCGGCTGCAAGCAAAACAGTTGACAGGTTTCGTCTTAAACTACGTGAGTACGATGCGTCAGAGACGTTTACCAAAGTCCAAAAAAAACAACCCCAAACTGACACTCGAAAAAACCTGGGCAAATCATGCACAGGCACACGAAATCATATGAAAAACAAACCTTGGGCAATCAAGCAAGCTTAAATCGTCATCCATCACACAAAAGAACTGCAAACGCAACTCAAAAACAATTCAGAACTCGAGACAACAAATCACCAATCAGAACCAAACCGAACCCCCATCATGAAATAGAAAAGCCATCAGAAACAAATCAAATCCTCATATCTAAAGTGAACCAAACAAACCACACATTGGACTATCGGCATGTTCGCATATTATACAAGCCTGCGTAAGTCTTAAGCGCAAGTTTCCGCATCCATCTTCAACCATAGTAAACCATAAGCATGACCCTAAGCACCTCATCCTGTAGATAGAATTGAAAAGGTACCTTAATAGGTCTGCTCGGCCAACCTTTCAGCGGAGCTTAGACATGATCCCAAAGTGCCACCTACGTAAATACCTGTTCACAACCGAACGAACTTCGATCCCAGCAAAGAGGCATGGCCGCAACTTGCAAGGGAGTCCTTTTCGGGAATGGCACGATTGTGCTAACAGCTGTGAACTACCGATGACAAACCTAGCTATGCGTGCTTCAGACTGCTACGTTTGGGGTTGAGTGCACAAGGATCCCAACGAGGACAGAACATCGGGTAAAGTTGCACTGGAGCTTCAGATAGGTGAACTTAGCCGCATAAGACGCTATGACATACAAATCGCTTGCATCTTGTACTGAATCAGGACCGAGTACTGCACTTTTCGTCCATTTTTGTGTGGAATAGTCTGCTGCCAGCACTGCAACGAAACCTGATCATGCAAGGTGATGACTAAACAGCCTCGTCTTTCAATTGGAGCTTCGAGGAAATAATATACCAGAATTATAGCTTTTAGGGAGACGGGAATTCTGATAAGGATTCAGACCCCTCATGTATGCTATCAACGGATAGTGGATAACCCATGCAACAGTGCATCTGTCAGTTGTCCTGCGACCACAAAAGACGCTGCATAAGCCCTATAAACAAGAGTTTGTGCGTGGGTTAGCACTTTCATCACTTTCATGTTTCGCCCCTAAGCCCTGAAGCCCTACGGCCATAAACTGGAACCCTAACAGGAAAAACCGCTGGGGCCTGCCCCAGACCACCAAAAATCCTAAACCCTAAACCCTAAACCACCAACAAGTCCTAAACCCCAAGCCCCAAAACCACCAAAAGTATAAAACAATCGAAACCGCCCCAGGAACCCGGCCCTCCTGTCATAGCCATCAGGCCGATCAGGATCCTGTGCCCGGTCCTCAAGCTTCCCACCGGCTCGCTGAATGCTACTATATAGGGGTTTTGGGGTTTAGGGGTTTAGGGTTTAGGGTTCAGGGTTTAGGGTTTAGGGTGTAGGGATCCTTAACAACCCTTAGCAGGGGTTTTAGGGCTCCTGAAAGGGATCCATGAAGGTTTCTAGCGGGTTTCTATACGGGTACTATAAGGGTTTGTTCTTTCTGGGTAGTTCTCTAAATTTGGGTACCGTTTAGGGTACTTTTTGTAAGGGTGCCTTGCTGTATTGGGGACTTAAAAGGGGCCCTAATTTACAGAGCTACCCATATAGGGATCCTTAACAAGCCTTAACAAAGGTTTAGAGCTTTATGACTCTAGGTTTAGGGTTGGATGGATCCTGGACAAGGATACATTACCCCTTCTGCGTCGCGCTACTTAAACCCTAAACCCCTAAACCCCTAAACCCTAAACCCTAAACCCCTAAACCCTAAAGGCCCTAAAGGCCCTAAACCCCTAAACCCTAAAGGCCCTAAACCCTAAACCCCCTAAACCCTCAACCTTAAATCGGACCCCCTACTGAAATTCCAGGGTTTGTTGGTCTGCGCGTTCGTCGCCTTTCGGGTTCAGTTGGTGATCAGACTTTGAGGTCAGGGATCTTTTGGGTTTGGGGCGTAGGGCTTAGGGTTTGGGCGTCGAGGGTTTGGGGTTTGGGGGTCGAGGGTTTAGGGTTTAGGGTTTAGAGGGTCTAGGGTTAGGGATTTTGGGTGAAAGCTTAAGGTCTATAGGACTTAGGGGCTTCGAGCGTGTTTGGACAGCTTCGGCTTCATGAGGCGAGCTTCCGGTGGATGCGCCTGGGACTTACTTGACCCTATGGAGCTGCATCGCGCAAAGGATCTTGTTGGAACTGCCCGTTTTAGCCGCGCCAGCAGGCCCTACAACCCAAACCCTAAACCTCAAAGCCTAAAAAGGTCTAAACCCTATGATCCTCAACCCAACCTTCAGCTGAGTCTCTCAAGATGGACCCTGAGCGCTGAACCCTCAACCCTAAACCCTAAACCCTAAACCCTTTCTTTCCAACCCAAGGCGCCCTAGACCCTGAGGCAGCTGGGTCTCTTAACCTTGAGCGTTACAACCTGAAACCTAAACTCCAGACCTTTTAAACCCAGGCGCCCTCGATCTTTAAATTAGGCACCCCAAACCCTAAACCCTTTAGTTAGGCACCCTAAACCCTAAACCCTTTAGTTAGGTACCCTAAACCCTAAACCCTTTAGTTAGGCACCCTAAACCCTAAACCCTTTAGTTAGGCACCCTAAACTAAACCCTAAACCCTTTAGTTAGGCACCCTAAACCCTGAACCCTTTAGTCAGGCACCTAAACCCTAAACCCTAAACCCTATAAGCCCTAGGCAGCTAGGTCTCTAAGAGAAGCTCTACGCGGCTGGCATCGTTGCCCTGCGCGGCGCGGCAGAGCTCCCCGGCCTGGTCATAGCGAAGCTCCAGGCAACTTGAAGGACGAGGGTTAGGGGCTTAGGGCTTAGGGTTTAGGGTCAGGGTTGAGGGTTTAGGGTTTAGGGTTTAGGGCTTCGGGTTTCGGTTTAGGGTTTAGGGTTGAGGTTTTTGCAGGTTGAGGGATTTGAGAAGTCACACCCTAGGCCCTAAGCCACAAGCACTAAGCCCTAAATCCCAAACCCTAAGGCCTTTAATATTAATTTAACTTCCAAACCACTAAATCCTGAACCCTAAACCCTGAACCCCGAAACATAATTAAACCCGAAAACAGCCTTTAACACCTGCCCTGAACCCCTAAACCCCCTCAACCCGAAATCTCCTAACCCGAAACCTCCTAAACCCGAAAACAATTCCTGGTCCTTCGTCCCGCGAACACCCGCCAGGGCTTGCAAGCCGCGAGCTAAGAAGTTTACCTTTCGGGGGTTCGTAAGTACTCTATCAACTCTGTAGCTTACGTAGTTTCTGGAACCCAAGACCCCAAACCCTAAACCTAAACAGTTTTAGAGTCATCTAGCAGCTCTTGAGCCCTAAATCCGAATGTCTCGAAAGTTCTCAACTCAAAAGCCCGAAAGGTCGCACGCCTGGGCAGGAGTGGCTTCGCAGAATGGGAGCACAATCCTTCCAAAAACGGGTGATGTGGGGTTTAGGGTTTAGGGTTTAGGGAAATCCTCCCAAGCTCCTACAACTTGCAGCTTGAATCCTAAAATCCTGAACCCCAAATCATGTCGTTCGGGGTCCAGGGTTTATGATTACTATAGGTGCCTTAGATTTTAGAATAAGGCTTTGGGGTATATTATACTATAATCATACTATAATCATAATAATCAACCCCCAAAACAGTAGTGGTAGGTATTTAAGAACATATACTTTATATCCTCAAGCCTGGACCCCCGGACCGTAGACGACAAATCCTACACCCTCGGCCCTGACTTCTAGTTGCCGGACAAGACCCCTAATTTCGGGAATGCATCCTTATAAGTCGCAACAGGCACGATCTCTCTGAGTATAGTAAAGGCGTCACGATAGGATTCATGCCTCAGGAATAAGTAAAATCTCAAAAGTATGTTCGAAAAAACCGGGGCATTCGTCTTCATGGACGTGGATACGCCCCTTTGGAATACCCAACTTCTCTATCTTCCTAAAGCCCCTAAACCCTAAACCCTATTTAAACCCTAAACCCTAAACCCTAAACCCTAAACCCTAAACCCTAAACCCTAAACCCGGAAACGACACACCAAAAATCTGCCGAAGATCAGCTGCAGCTCCGCGCCGGCCGTGAAGTCCTTGTCCTTCTGCACCTGCAAAGCCCCTTAGGGTTTAGGGTTTAGGGTTTAGGGTTTAGGGTTTAGGGTTTAGGGTTTAGGGTTTAGGGTTTAGAATCACTCCCTCCACATGCGCGAGAGCTTCGCCTCTAGCAGACTCTCGCAACCTCAGCCGGAATCTCCGTTTCCGACTGGGCTTGGGGCTTTCGCGCTTTCGGACTCATGGCTTGAAGGCTTTAGGGCAGGCCAGCTGGGATTTAGGAATTTCAGGGATTTGGGGGGTTTGGGGATGAAGCTTTGGGATTATTGGTCTGAGTCTGGGTTTGGAGGGGAGCACTTTGCTACTTTTGTACAGGCCCTCCTTGAGAACCCCAAACACCCAAACACGTCAAACGCCACAAAACCGCAAGAGTGCCAAACCCTAAACCCTAAGCCCTAAACCCAAGATCCCTAAACCCTAAACCCTAAACCCTAAACCCTAAACCCTAAACCCTAAACCCTAAACCCTAAACCCTAAACCCTAAGCCACAAAACCGCAAGAGTGCCAAACCCAAGACCCTCCTGGACCCTGAAGAACCTACCTTTTTTAGGGTTCCTTATTATGATTTCCTTATATAGGTCCTTAAAAAGGTAGGTTCTTTGGACCCTACTTGGAGGTTCATGGGTAGTTTTAAGTGGGCTTATAAGTAGGGTAACTATACTTATAACCCATATTAGGGGAGCCGCTTGACCGGTAGAGCCCCAATGCAACCCTAAGGGTCCATCTACCCAAAGAGTATATCTGTTTTAGGGTTTAGGGTTTTTTTTTAGGGTTTAGGGTTTAGGGTTTAGGGTTTACCCAAATAATATATCTTTCTTCCTTCAAAGCAGTCCCCCTATAGGTACTCGAGACCTCAAGTATATATTATTTGGGCACATGGACCCGTAGGGTAAAATTCGGATATACGGGCCATAATAATTGTGTGGCATACTATTCTATAATTCTAACAAGGAGCCCGCAAATCAGTATTGGTAATGATCTAGGCCCCTTTACTATAGTTCTGACCTGGGCAAAGAGCCCCAGCTGCGCTTGACTCGCTTTTCTGACCGGCTGATGTCCGTTAGCAATATGGGTAGTTCTCTTTATAAGGTCCCTTTTAGGGTACCTTTTATCAGGGTGCCGTAATATGCAGGTGTGTATGTGAAGCAACAACACCCTCTTGTTTGAAATCCCTGTACTACAACAATACCCCAAACACCCAAACACCTTATCCTGCCTACTAAGGACTAAGGTGCCTTTAGATAAGAGATCCCAACGAGCTCTTCCGCAAGCCGACTCAAGGATTGCAAATTATTATAAACCCTAAACCTTAAAACCCTAAACCTTAAAACCCTAAACCTTAAAACCCTAAATCCTAAACCCTAAACCCTAAACCTTAAACCCCTAAACCCTAAACCCTAAAGCCCTAAACCCTTTGCACCTCCGACCCATCTCCGAAGAGCAGTTTCTGTCGGAAGCGAGGGTGGCCGCACAAAAACCTCGAGCTTCAAGCAAAGAACCCAAAATTCTACGGATTTAGGGTGTAGGGACCCATTTTTTTTTTTTTTTTGGTGGTGGGGGGGTCTCGGGATTTCGGGGTTAGGTTTTAGGGTTTAGCGTTCCTGTGCACTTCGTCCAGCACAATCAGGGTTAAGGGTTCAATTTCAATCTTAACGGTTTGGAGTTTAGCAAACACTATGAAAGGTTGGCCTGCGAAACGTGCAACAGCTACTGAGTGAACAGCATGTTGCTCTTCAGCATCCATGATGCTGCTCCGTGCTGTTCCACGTGCACGGATACAGTCCTGCAGGTGATTCAGAGGGAGTCTTAGTGCAGGATCGGATCCTTAGCATAAGGACTTCAACAAAGGATACTGAAAACTACGACACCCCCACATTGAGCCGAAGCTAACCAAGTGCACCAGACTGCCAGATGCAACGGATCGACAACGAGATGAAGAAGCACAGATTTGAGGAACTTCTCAACATGTGCACTGTAAAGATCGTTGGGCATATAAACCCTCCCCATCCTGCCACCTTGCACAAGATTACTAGATTCTCACCTGAAGACAAAACCAAATCTTCACGAAATTCACTAATTCTGATCCAGAACACCTAACACTGCCCAACATGTAGTTGTAGCATAACACAATGCCCAACAAAAGAAAGACAAGATGCTGCAAAGTCCATACCAGGCATACCGCGGCATGTCACAACTCCCAGTTTGGAGTGGCCCGATGACCCGGACCAAAGACCCCAAAGTCCGAAACCCTAAACCCCAAACCCCAAGAACCCTATTGCCCGAAACCCTCAGCTGCAAAGCCTAAACTGCTAGGTAAGTCCGACCCAAACCTTATTAAGCTTTAGGGTTTAGGGAATTCTTCCAGGCGGCTGTAGGTGTCGTTTGAGTGCCCGCAGGGGTTCGTCGCGAAGCGTCAGTTTCTGGAACTCAGCAGCGTCGATGGCGAAGATCTCCTCACAAGCGGCTTCAAGGTATGTATGAAGTCAGTGGAGCATTTTGGATTCGGTCGAAGAGTAAAGTTTTGACTTAATTATGGTCTATGCTATAGGGGCCTTAATACTTAGAATAGGGTTTTGGGGCACATTATACAATAATTATAATCTGGAAACCACAGAGGTAATAATTTAGGCCCCTACATGAAATAGGGACAGGGTTCGAGGGTCGGGGGTTCCCGCTGGTTCCCGGCTTTTTTGCTTCGAGGTCCATGGGCTGGTACTGTGCACAGCGAGCCGAAATCAAGATCGCTTGGATGTCGAAGCTGTGATGCGGAGTTACACTAGTGGCGCAAAGACCTCAATGATCCGCATTCGACTAGCCTCTGGTCCTCTGGTTAGGCCTAAACCCTAACAGGTTCGTCGCGAACCACAGTCACAAAGCGCCCGGCTTCCAAACCTTGATCCAACCAGGCGGAAAGGCGTGTCGTTACCATCATGAAGCCTTACAAGCCTTACGCTATAATATAGGGGCCTAAATAATTACCCATACGTGTTTCGGAAGTTCCTTACTATAAGTACAGTATAATGGGCCCCAGAACCCTGCCCTAACTATTCAGGCCCCTATGTTAGTCCCTTATGGTAGCCCTTGTAGAACCCTTTAAGGAACCCGATAAACGAACCCCCAAACCCTATTCTAATTATTTAAGGGCAATATATTTTTGCCTACTCCAAGGTTTCGAACTTCCGAGCTATCTGAGCACCCTCGTTTGCAAACAACTGGAGCATATACTGGCGATGAAGCATTATACCACAAGGTGCCTAGGGTTTAGGGTTTAGGGTTTACCACAAGGGCATGTGGATAATGATACATTCCAGCTTTTCATAAGTTACATGGTCGAAGCTATGTGGTTTTAGCGCTCCTCCCCGGACGGCCGCCACACCCGCAGCATGGTCGAAGACGCGCCACGGTCAGTGGGGATGGCTCTCTCGGGGCCTATAAACCACCTTGAACTACCAGAACCTACTTATTTTTTGTAGGAGCCCCATACGTTCTAGAGTCTCGAGCTTGGTCTATATTAAGAACCTACAAGAAAGTAGGTTGTGGCAGTTTCCAGGTCAGACCTAAACCCTTAAAATCTAAACCCTCATTTAAACCCTAAACGCTTATCGGTGAAGGGTCTCTCTGGTACTTTGCAGCAGACTTCCACACAGCCTCAAAGACACTGCTGCAGCTACAACAGCCTTCGTGAATGCATTCACCTCGACAGTGACATGGTGTATGCCCATGTCATGACGACTTGGCACTGCTATGTTCCTGTTACGCTGACTGCCACTCGTGCTCTTGTCCACATCAAATTTTAGAGGGGACTGGGGTTCCAAGTACATAGGCACAACGATGTTTTACGTTTCTGGGCTTTGTGCAGAAGGTGGCGGTTCAGGCTAGTGCCCTTCGGTTGAAGGTTACTTAAGTTGTACCTATAGTCTCCATTGTAGTTCCTTTTTTGGTTTAACCAAGTAAAAGTCGAGGATCCTATGAGGCAACCCCAAGGAGGAACTACAATTGAGACTATAGGTAGGGTTTAGGGTTTATGAGGCCCTAAACCCTAAACCCTGAACTCTAAACCCTGAACCCTAAATCCTCAACCCAAAGTGCGAAACCCTAAACCGCAGGTTGAAGGTTAGTAAGGTTAGTCTAGTCGAAGGAATCGTATAGGGGCTCTCTCGGACGATAGACTATCAGACGGTGGGTTCGGGCTTGGGACTGAGGGGGTTTAGGATTTTGGGCTTAAAGGGTTTAGGGTTTAGGGTCTAGAGTCTTGGGGGGGTGAAGGGGTTTAGGGTTTGGGGTCTTAGGATTTAGGGTTTGGGGCTTCGGGCTTAAGGGATTTAGGGTTTAGGGCTTAGGGCGTAAGGGGTTTAGGGTTTCGGGTAGAGGGTATAAGGCTTAATTACGGACTTAGCTCGGAGATGAGCTGTTTGCGGGTTTTGGCTTCGCTTGGGCCTCGTGGGGAGTCTTCGCGAGGTTCTCGGATTTTTTTTTTTTAGAACTGAAGAGTTTCATGCTCCCTTTCCTATACGCAGATTGGCTTCGTGCCATAAGCGCTTCGCAAGCTCCAGGTTCTTGAGTTGTGGGAAATTCGGAGATTCAGGACTGCGGGTCTGGAGTTTGGTAGAGTTGGGGCTCTGCAGAAAAAGGCAAACGGTGCTTTGGTGGTTAGTCGTTGTAGCACCCCAGCGTTTTTTTAAACTGAACAAGCCCAGCTGCTCTTTCAGACTGATGCATCCCGACATGTCATTGTCCGCATACCTGGAGATGCAAGGGAATATGAAACCATGGCTTCAAGGGTTCATTAGAGGGTTCCGAGCGCGTACACCAGACCTCACATGCCCCAAGAATACTGTTTGTATTTTCTGTTCAGGCTTCTACATCATGTTGTTCTACTGGCTCAGCAAGAAGAGAAGCAGATAACAGGGGACCAAAGGAAGAACTCAATGTCAGGATCTCAGAAGCAAGATTTTTCTGAATACCCCCTGACAAGTAATCCCAACTTACGCATGTGCATCATCATGCGGCAATATGCAGGAAATGCAAGAGGTCTAGCGAACTGGCAGCCACCAAAACTCTGCGACTAAGGCTCACATACCCCGGTGACTCGTCTGCAGTCGCAGTCGATCCACAACATCAAGATACATACAACCTGGAAGCCAAAGCAAATTCCACCAGAAAATATGTCAAACCTGGAAACCAAAGCAAATTCCACCAGCTAATATGTCAGGCTGTCGCCGCCATACTACGGTGAACTCCAGCAGCGGCCCCTTTGACGGTGGGAGACCCAAGAGCTTTGAAGAGAAGTCCGAAGAAGTCCTCATGCGATACGGCTATAGGCCCTTCACCGAGTTTAGGGTTTAGGGTTTAGGGTTTAGGGTTTAGGGTTTAGGGCTTATAGGGTTTCGCGTCTAGGGTTTAGGGCTTATAGGGTTTCGCGTCTAGGGTTTAGGGTTTAGGGTTTAGGGAACCTTGAAGTAAATTTGAGCCCCTGACCTATCCCGCCTCTGATTCCGAAAACCAAGCATCCTCTGAGGACTTTAAACACCAAGCCTTCTGGGACGCTTGAGAAAACTGTAACAAGAGCAGATGTGTCCGTGTAGAACCCTTGACAGAAAACTTTAAGGAAACCTGTTCTAATCATTAAAGCCTCTACCCGATTAAGGCCCCTCCTTTCAGGGATAACGTAGATCTCTGATGATTAAACCCCGGTCCCGAAGTAAGGTTTACAAAATTCAAAGGGATCCTTACACCAAGGCTTTCATGTAAGGGAGTTTATTCACCGGGGTCTACATTGCTGCAGTTCACAAACTGACGCCCCGACCTGAACACCCTTGTATAGCCCCACGAGGCCCTAAACCGCCAAAATCCTAAACCCCTCAAACACTCCTAACCCCTGAAAGCACTAAACCCTCCAACAAGATCGCCGAAAGCCCTGAAACCTAAATCCTAAACCCTCAATCCTAAAACCTAAATCATCCTAAAACCTAAATCCTAAAACCTAAACCCTAAAACCTAAACCTACCTAAATCCTAAACCCTAAACCCTAAACCCTAAATCCTAAACCCCCAAACCCCTAGATCTCCAAAAGGAGAGGAACCTCCAAGCTCCGGCGATGTCCCCCCGGAAGCCCAGCTCCTGGAGATCATATGGGTGGTTGTCAAAATGTCCCTTTGGGGGTACCCTAAATAATAGGTGCCGTATTATAATAAGGACCTAAAAAGGGACCCTAATTTAGAGAACTACCCGAATATAGGAGGGCCTTCACTTCTAGAACTTGGTTTAGGGTTTCAGGGTTTAGGG